GGCGATTAATACTAGTTATTAATTGTTGTCTCAAGTTACTCGTAAAACGGTCAAGATCCGAATATATTATTTTGATTTGCTTTTTAAGTTAAGGCATTTGATTTCTTCCATAAATCAAGATGTTGTTACTTTGATCTTGTCAAGGCTATAGAACTTGTGTTCCTGGAAATTCTTGGAATTATTTCCTTGAATTCTTCTCATATCATTTATTTTCATCTCTTTAATTCTAGTTGTTCAATTCCTTGTTGTTATTGCTTCCGTATTTACTTCTCAAATTCTTACTCTAATTTGGATTCCCGACCTAGTTGTTATCACTCATCATCCTGGGCGAAGTCAGTTTCAACTTGTATATTCGAGTGGGATTGAATTGACTTACCAATTTAGGCGAAGTCAATTTTTCCATATGTATTTGAGCGAGGTCGAACTTAGAGTTGCCATCTTGGGCGAAAGTTTCTTATATATTCGAACGAGGTCGAACTTGGAGTTACCGTCTTGGGCGAAGTCAATTTTTGACTTATATATTCGAACGAGGTCGAACTTGGAGTCGTCGTCTTGGGCGAAGTTAGTTTCTGACTTATATATTCGAACGAGGTCGAACTTGGAGTCGTCGTCTTGGGCGAAGTTAGTTTCTGACTTATATATTCGAATGAGGTCGAACTTGGAGTCGCCATCTTGGGCGGAGACAGTTTCTGACTTATATATTCGAACGAGGTCGAACTTTGAGTCGCCATCTTGGGTGAAGTCAGTTTCTGACTTATATATTCGAACAAGGTCAAACTTGGATTTGTCAATTCGGATGGGCGAATTTTTACTTTTACTTGACGGTGGCCGACGGTCGTAAAGATGAGAATTTGAGAGATCGAAATTGTAGTCCGTTATAAATTCGAGCGAGGTCGAATTTTTACATTTATTTGATGGTGGCTGATGACCGCAAGGTGTTAACTCGAGTGAGGTCAAATTGTAACCCGTTGTAAATTCGAGTGAGGTCGAACTTTCCTTTTGTTTGGCGATGGTTGATGGCTGTAAGGGTGTTAATTCGAGCGAGGTCAAATTGTAACCTGTTGTAAATTCGAGTGATATAAAACTTTCCTTTCGTTTGGTGATGACTGATGACCTTAAAAGTATTAATTCGAGCGAGGTCGAATTGTAACCATTGTAAATTTGAGTGAGATCGAACTTTCCTTTTGTTTGGAGATGGTTGATGGGCGTAAGGGTGTTAATTTGAGCGAGGTCGAATTGTAACCCATTATAAATTCGAGTGAGATCAAACTTTCCTTTCATTTGGTGATGGCTGATGGCCGTAAGGGTGTTAATTCGAGCGAGGTCGAATTGTAACCTGTTGTAAATTCGAGTGAGATCGAACTTCCCTTTTGTTTGGCGATGGCTGATGGCCGTAAGGGTGTTAATTCGAGCGAGGTCGAATTGTAACCCGTTGTATTATTTTTATTGGAAAACATTACTCGTCGCTGTATTATTTTTGCGTGTATTGGGGCAGTTGCCGTATTGTTTTTGCGTGCATCAGGGCGAGTCCCGATTTGCTTAATTTTATTTTCATTGGAGAATACTGTGCATTTCATGGGTGAGTCCCGGTTTGCTTAATTTTGCTTTCATTGGAGAATATTGTGCATTTCATGGGTGAGTCCCCTATTCTGGAGATTGTTTCTCAATAGTGGACTCATGCCGAACCGTTTCTGTTATTTGTAGTATGGTACGACTTAGAGGGCTTTGCTCGGTCGTTGCTTGCGAGATGGCATGGTATGGAACCTTTTCCTAGAATGTTTTGGTGGCGCTCGTTCCTTGTTTGCGTACATATGAGAGTACTCGTGTTCCTATTTTGAACCAATCAAGAGAACGTAATAAGTTAAACCCAAACGAAATTGCCTGTTACCTTGGTCTGGCAAGTCGGTGAAAGGATGAACGGCGTTGTAGGGTCGCTCGCTTCGTCTTGTACTCGAATGATGATTTCAAATTCGGTAGCCGTGTTCGGCTTCATCGTTAATCGCATCTAAGCTTCTCGTGGGTTAAACATACCTTGCCCATAGGGATACCGAGACCGAGTCCTAGTCCGACCCCGTCCGATATGTGCAAACAATAAGGGAAACATGTCATACTTTGTTCATAAATCACCCAGTGCATGAGGGTACGAAAATAAAACAGGATATGTCGGCTATTTCAAAGGATCACACAGTAGTCTATCGTCCCTTCCTAAGAGGTGGAAGTACAGACCGGTATATAAGGTGAATACGTCAAATGGGATTGTGGTCATGCCAAGAGAAATTGTGACTGTGATTCTACTTTAAACATGCATATGATGTGCCAAACCTATCGCTACAAGTGAGGCGCGAGTTTTGCATAGACATCAGTCACAATTTCTGTTTTATGTAGAGATCTGACCTAGATTGGTACGGTTATCTCAAAAGCTTATCTACCATTCTTTCGAGTTGGTGTTTATACCGAGATGGTGAGGCTATGACAGCCTGGAAGTGATACTTGGCTGGTTCTATATCTAAAGGAAACTAAAAGATTTGGCTAAGAAATCCCCATAGACGGCGCCAAATTGTTTGACCAAAAAATGCTAAACTTTTCGTTAAACCAATTAATAAAGAAAATGGAGGATAAATCTTAGCCAAACATAATTAATTCTAGATCTAAGCATATCAAATATGAGAATCGAAGGAAGCCGAGCTTATATGACATTTCTTAAGATGATTAAAAGACATCAAACGTAAATGATAAGCTTACATATTTGATATATTGTTCCGTACTTGTAAGAGCAAAGAAGAAAAAGAGGGAAAGTCGTTGATAACTATGAGATCTATTTTTATTCATTCAACAAGGATGATTACAAAGGGTTGTAACCAAAATCTAGGTTTTTGCTTTGTAGTTGGAGGTCCTCTCTTGTTCTCATCTTTGATACTTTGTTCCTCTTTTTTTTCGGATGGGAACCCCTTTTTCTTGCTTTCTAATGTTATATACCAATCTCCCTCTTTATCCAACGGTCTTTAACCATCGTACCCTCTCTTGATCATACTCTTCCTTACTTGCCCAAGTATTACGAAATATGTTCTGCCGTGTAAGTCTTCTGATGGCTCGATCTCGGTAGTGGCCGAGATACTCGTCGCTATTACGCCTCGTGGGTACGACTATGGCTTGGTCGACCCCTTACCCTTCCTTTCAATGATAACCCATTCTTAGTCAGATTTTGACCCATACACATTATTCATGTTTACCATTTCTCTTCATCAATCCATTAGTAATCAAATTTTAGATATTGCAGAAGTTCTCGGCCAAAAATAAGTATAGTACGAAGCTGCCGGAAAAATCTACTATTGCACGCAACTGTGTTCACGTATGCGTTAAAGATTAAAGTAATACTATTCTCAGATTCCAAAGTAGAATGGTCAACTTTTTACTTTAAACAGATCATCTTATGCTAAAAATTGTGGTCCCTGCTCCACGACCACGACTTACCAATTACTCCATCAAAATAGAGTAAAATAAATCAACAAGTTCTAAAAAATAAGAAATCTTAATTCTGTCCCAATTGATAATTGCTCTTTGATGTTGACCTAAGCTGTTGTACCACGTTTTTTTTATTGCTTCTACATTTGAGTTCCTGTACGAGGAGACCCGAAGCGCTGACATGGTCTAACTCAATTTTTTAAGAGAGGGATAGGGTCTAAAATTGTCTAAATATGTAGTCGAAATTATCCTTTTTTGATTCATTTTACATCCTTCTAGTTAGTAAATTATTTTATTATAAATGAAACTCTAGTGTAAAATGAATGGATACTACATGTTCAAATTCTTCAAGAAGGTTAAAATTTTAAATATACCCTTCAACATTTGACTACCCTTTAAAATTACATGGAAATAGTATCGGCCTAGTCACTTTCTGGACTGGTAATCGAAAAATAGCCAGCGCTTACAAAATTATTAAAAAATAGTCATTGTTTTGCTGAAACACGGAAAATTTAATATGATGGATTATAGAGCTCATGTGTATAAGCTTCCAACATATTATGTTGGAAATTCTAGCATAATGTTGGATTATGGAACTCCTCCATTTAAACTTCCGCATATTATGTTGGAATTCCAGCACATTATAATATTCCAGCATATTATACTGGAATCTCATATGTATAAAATCTGAACTTCAGCATATTATGTTCGGATTTTTCTATATTTTTAAGAATATTTTTGTTCAGATTATATCTTTACATGAAAAAGTGACTAAATTTTGATTACTTTTTGAAACTGTGACTTTTTTCAATTACCGGTTGTAAATCTGACTATTTCTCATTCCCGAAAATTACCCTCATGTTTGAAAGCCCGTTAGGATTCAAGGGAAAAATGAGTCTTTTTTAATTGTCTTAAGTTTAATACCTAGATGATTAAAAATATTACATGGTAGTTTTTTTTTACATTCTGATGTGAGATTTACAAAGTGACAAAGAATTGAGTGATGTGTTTAATTCGACAACATAAATTTGACTTTCCTATAATTTGTATTTTCTGAAATATTAAAATTATTTTAATGCGACGAAAAACTAATTTTGTAATCTTATTATTATGACAACTAAAGTTTATCCTTAAAATTAATCGGTAATTCAAATACCATCCATTATCTTCATCGTCCTTCACGGACACAAAAGTTACCATGTGATTCTTTTCTTGTCTCTACTCATTTGAAGTGAGAAATCTACCAAAACAAAAAGGAAAGAAGAAAAAGAAAAAAGAAACAGAAAATACAATGAAATTCCTTTTATAACCCTTTTCCACTGCCTGCTACTGGTACATATTCAATACGTACGTACTGAAAGCAGAAAGCATTTTGACAGTACTGAGTTTTGACAATACTGAATCAATGGAGGAAATTGAGCAGGCCACAAAAACTTCACTCCCATCGCTAAGGCTAAATTACGACGTGTTCTTGAGTTTCAGAGGCGAAGATACTCGCGAAAACATCACTAAAAACTTATACGATGCCTTATACTCAAAAGGCGTCCGAGTTTTTCGTGACACAAACGGGTTAACTCAGGGCGACGAGATCGCTCCAGGTCTTATGGACGCAATCAACGATTCAGCTGCAGCTATTGCTATTATTTCACCCAATTATGCTTCGTCGAGATGGTGTCTCGAGGAATTAGCTACGATTTGTGAGTTGAGTAAACTCGTTCTGCCCGTTTTCTACCGGGTTGACCCGTCGGATGTGAGAAGGCAGAGAGGACCATTTCTACGTGATTTTGCGAGTTTAGAAGGAAGGTTTGGAGTGGAAAAGGTGGTGAGATGGAGAAACGCTATGGAAAGAGTTGGTGGAATCTCCGGCTGGGTTTATTATAATCGGTAATAATAATTTCTCTCTCTCTTTCTATCTTCTCTCTAACCAATTGGAATCTAAGTTACAAATTAAATATATATTACTTTACCCTAGACATGTGATTTGATACAAATTAAATAACTCGCCATGAATGTTGGCAACCCTAACGTCTGCATTTGGTGCAAGATCAACCCTCGACGGTTGCTCCAGGATAGACACTTGATAACATTAGCATCTTTGGTTGATTGCTTGATAAGGCCATTTTGATCAGAATTGTTCAAATAATAGTAATGTTTTCTTTTCGGCTTAAAATAATAACGTTGGTCACATTGTTTCTTCTCCTCATTAATAAAATTACATATTTATGCAAGTCATTTGGTTAACTCACACTAACAAAAATAATCACATTATAAATTTCCCAATAATTAATACTTTCTATGTCTCAATTTATCTGGCACATTTTCCTTTTCATTATGTACCAAAAAGAATGACATATTTTTATATTTAGAAGTATCTTAACTTTGACATTTTCATTTAACCCTTACAATAACAACAAATCCAGTGTAATCCTACAAGTGGGATCTGGAAGAGTATGTATACGCAACCTTAGCCTTACCTTGTAAAGTTAGAGAGACTGTTTTCAATAGACGCTCGGCTCCAAAAAAATAAAATCACACCAATATCAAAAGGAAATACAATAATGGATAAACCACAAAAAGAAAACACAAAAAACGAAATAATGCCAACAAGAACAAGATAACAACAAAAGTAAAGCAATAAAACAACCTGTAGTTATACAAAACTATAAGAAAGTACGAGAGTAATATAGATACTAAGGAAGAAAAAGAATAACTCGCGACTACCTAAGAAATTATTTATAGTCACACATATACTTAAGGCTTGATTTAGATCATAAATTTCTAAATATTTTCGTTTTTAAACTTCATACCCAATCAAACAACACATAAATATGTAGGTAGCGAGGGAGTACAATATTTGTTTGGTTTTAATTTTAAAAAGATCAGCAGGTAATTTATCAATTAGCGTTTGGTTGGCCATACTCGGGGGAGATTCTAGGATATCAAGAAGATGTGTTGCACCATTACAATGAGGTGGATGTAAGATTTAAATTTTACGGGTTCAACTTTTAGATTTCTAGCATTGGACACATTGCACTTTAGATATTATAGGTTCAATTTTTTTTTGTTGTTGTTGAGAAATTATAGGTTCAAGGTATATACACACACACACAACAATAACAACAACAACAATTCAGTATAATTTCACAAGTAGGGTCTTGAGAGAGTAGTATGTACGCAGCTTTACCTCTACCTTGTGAAGGTAGAAAGGTTGTTAACGATATACCCCTGCTCAAGCAAAGCACAATCATAGCAGTTTCAAAAGGAATACCATAGTAAAAAAAATTATAAAAAAGAAGCAGTATCAATAGCAAGATAATAAGATAACAGAGGCAAAAAAAATAACATGTAATAATAGAAATCTAAATATAAGAAAATACAGGAATAATACTAATGCTGCTGATATATGGAAAGAAAAATAGCAATTTCAATGTGCCAGACTTGAGAATGTTGGAAGGATATTAAACCAAAACAAACAAAGAAAGAAAAAGAATTAAGAACTTAATTAAAATGCAAGAAGGAACATGGTCATTCTCCACGGGTGGACTCTATTCTCCTAGAAAAGAAAGTTTGAGAAATAAACTCAAAACCTCACCTATAAAAGTGCATTCAATAACTTTCGCACCATATGAATCTTTAAGCTTGCGTATGCACACATATATTTAAGTACTTTTAGAAAAATATAGAAAAAATGTATGAGTACCTCCTGACTTATAGTCAGATTTTTAACTACATACTTTATCTTTGCGGGGATATTATTATCCCCTTGAAATATTTTTAAATGGAATTAGTATCACCCTGAAATACCACTAATACATGTGAGTTTGGTGGTGAAATACACGCGTCTGATATATGTATTTCCCACTAAAATTATTTTTTTTCTTGTTATTTTCTCATCTACTTCCTTTCCCAACTCACTTTTTGTATTTTTTAAAATTCTTTTTTCCTTTTTACACAACCCACCTTTTCCCATCCCTCAATCCATAAGCGAAGTAGTGAAATTTTTTTGGTTGAAGAAGCAGATAGAAAAACGGTGTGCTCCTAGAAAACTTTCTAGCAATCAACAATCAACAACTAAATTCTTCTTGTTCTCTCTTTGGGAAAATGCATAAGTACTCCCCTTATTTATAGCCGAATTTTCAACTACACACTTTATCTTTGCGAGAATCCTATTATTCACCTAAACTTTTTTTAAATAGAATTAATATACCCTTAGTGCTGATGTGGCAGAAGAGAGTGTATGTTATTTTTAGGAGAGTAAGAAAGACAAAGTTGAAATTTTATTTTTATAACATTTTTATAAAATACTATTTTCCTATTCCTCTTGTTTATCTCCTCTTTTCCTTTTCTTTCATCCAGTTTCTTTACTTATAGACTTGGCCGAAAATTAGCTCCGGCATGCTCTATATTTTTCAGCGAGACAAACTTCAGATTTTACTCTTTAAGTTTTATTTGTTGAAGCAGAATTTTGAAGAGAATGAGGAAGAAGAATTTGGTTGTTGATTGTTGATTGTTGATTGCCAGAAAGTTTTCTAGGAGCTCACTATTTTTTGATCTGTCACCGACAAAAATGGAGTCTTTGAAATTCCGACCATCATTTTTCAGCTTATATTCATTTTTCTTTCTTTTGCTCTTCCTCCTACACATAAATTAAACTTTCAATAAAAAATTATATATATATATATATATATATATAAAGCAAAACACACTCAGATTGAGATAAAATATAGCCGGAAAATTTTTTCGCGCCGAAAAAATGCAGTCCTTGAAATTCCGACGACTACCACTTTATGCCGTCGGTGACAAAAATAAAAAGAAAGAGAATGAAAAAAAAATGGAGAACAATAATAGAATAATAAGAAATTAGAAAAAAGATAAGAAAAAGAAGAAAGAATAAAAAAGTACTCAAAATATATGTGGCAGTGCGTGTAGTTCGCAACTTGTTAAGAGCTTAGTTGTCTACCTTTATGGTGGTATTTATTTCGTGTGAAAAGAGTTCGGGTCGGGGGG